ACGACTACTGCGATAGTTTCAACAGTCCCTACTGCAACCTCAATGGCTCTGTATATAAAACTCCCGTTCCAAACAACTCCTCGAGCTCTCACGCATGAGATCGAATAGAGCTTTAAATGCGCTCATCAATTACATCTCATTGAGTCGATCTCACGAAGTCAAATCCACTTTTCAAAAAAAAAACGATATCCGATTAGATGGATGTAGTTCACGTGCTTATAACAATATGCTACAATCCCAACAGTAGAATCGAAAAGAATATCCTGAAAATCTTGAAACCAGACTGTATGCAAGAGTGAATACGAGACCTGTTCATAATTACCAAATATCTCGACTACCTAGGTGACGACTGAGGCGCATATGATAGTTGACGGAAGTTTCTTAGAGACAGGTTTCAAGAAGCTCGTAGCCTTCGCCCACGAGCGCTTTAGTGATAGCAAACTTTGTGTCGCGTGAGTAAAACCTGATCGGACTGAGGGAGTGTCCCCTAGCACGCAATTACGAAACGTGCGTCCCCGTACGCAGACGATAGAGACTCAAGTGTCAACTGCATCGCCTAACCAGGCCGAGAGAAGTGAGCTACTAAAAGTGTACAAAAGCCAACGATCATTCCCCAAAATTTCGTCGGAATTTTCATATTTGTAGTTGATTATGTGCATATGTTCCCACAGTGGCTTTGAGTTTGACGGGTGAAACTCTACTGAGTGATCTTGTTAACATCGTAAGTCGAATAAAATGAGTATTAATCTTTAAGAGAAGGTTTACTTATCGAGTTCGAGAAGCTTCGGAACATATTCTGTATTAATAGTGGGCATTCCTTTCAGGTTTCCCATTGATCAAGCAATGTGCATATCAGTTCCTATCAAATCGTGGACAGGAGTGACGACTGAAATACTCCTGTGTTGAATATCATTTCTAAATAACATTATTCTTGCGTGGTCAAATTTCTGGATATGGGAAGGAGGTGGAGTTATGTGAACCAGTGAGCTAAAGCAGCGAATCGAGCAAGGAATGCTTCACTGAAATTGTTCGCTGGAGTAGCGAAGATTTACGTGTGACGTGAAAATTTCCGGCGATAACAGAGTGGCTAGGGCAACACATGAAGTGGAAGAACCACTGAATATTCAGTCCTGAAGAGTGAACGCCCATGGGTGATGATCCTCCTATAACCAGAATGGCATCGGTAGTTGCCAAGCATCGATTGGAGGTTGACTTGCCAGAAATGTCTTCTTGATGGACCGAGGGCGGAGTCCGCACAGGCAAGAGAAAATACGGTAAGATACGATTAGTTTCTCACATGGTATCTTTACTCATCCGCAAAGATGCCGATTGCTCTCGCTCGCCCGTCTCAGATGCGGTACATGCTCATAAGTTGATAAAGTTCACAGTGAACGTTGTCTCGGTTAATGACGGAGCAAACGCTATTCGAGAATAGATATATGTTCCATATTATGAGACTATCTCCGGTGAGCATCTGTGTTTTCACGGTCCCGATGACTCTCCATCTCTCCTTCGTTGGCTGCTTGCTCTTCGCGGTCCCCGGCGCGGCTAAACTAAGACGCCTTCAAGTCTCTACCACTGACGCTCCCACCTACAGTCCTGAAGCTCGACAGCGTTGTGATCTTTACTGTCAAAGTAAGGTTGCTCTTTGGAGACTCACTGCTTTCTGATGTTCCTCGTCTGTAGTTCAGAACGGGTCGCCGAGCTATTGCAAGTATTGGTTATCTCCTCCAGTCTGCCAGGCGGGGGATCAGCCTTGCTCGCCTGACGTATGTGATGGTAGGACCATTGCTGCATTCTAGTGTCCTAAATGTTTCTCTCAGTTCCACCTGAAGCTACTGTACCGCCCTTGTCCACACCACCGTCGACCGACTCGGAAACCTGCGACCGTTATTGTCAAAGTTTGAATGGCCCTGCGAGTTACTGTAAATGGTGGCAGTCACCTGCTGTTTGTCAGTTCGGTGACCAGTTCTGTGGTGATGTAACTACGTGCGATCCGACCGCTCCGACTACATCATCAACGTCCTCGATCACTCCTTCGACGGGCTTCACGACAAGCACTCCGATCGTTCCTACTACAACGCCTGTGGCTCCTACCACAACGCCTGTGGCTCCTACTACAACATCGATCGTTCCTACTACAACGCCTGTGGCTCCTACTACAACGCCTGTGGCTCCTATTACTACACCGATCGTTCCTACTACAACGCCTGTGGCTCCTACTACTACACCGATTGTTCCTACTACAACGCCTGTGGCTCCTACTACCACGCCTGTGGCTCCTACTACCACGCCTTTGGCTCCTACTACCACGCCTTTGGCTCCTACTACAACACCGATCGTTCCTACTACAACGCCTGTGGCTCCTACTACAACACCGATCGTTCCTACTACCACGCCTGTGGCTTCTACTACCACGCCTGTGGCTCCTACTACAACACCGATCGTTCCTACTACAACGCCTGTGGCTCCTACTACAACACCGATCGTTCCTACTACAACGCCTGTGGCTCCTACTACAACACCGATCGTTCCTACTACAACGCCTGTGGCTCCTACTACAACACCGATCGTTCCTACTACAACGCCTGTGGCTCCTACTACAACACCGATCGTTCCTACTACAACGCCTGTGGCTCCTGCTACCACGCCCGTGGCTCCTACTACAACACCGATCGTTCCTACTACCACGCCCGTGGCTCCTACTACAACACCGATCGTTCCTACTACAACGCCTGTGGCTCCTACTACAACACCGATCGTTCCTACTACAACGCCTGTGGCTCCTACTACCACGCCTGTGGCTCCTACTACACCGATTGTTCCTACTACAACGCCTGTGGCTCCTACTACTACACCGATTGTTCCTACTACAACGCCTGTGGCTCCTACTACAACACCGATCGTTCCTACTACAACGCCTGTGGCTCCTACTACCACGCCTGTGGCTCCTTCTACAACACCGATCGTTCCTACTACAACGCCTGTGGCTCCTGCTACCACGCCCGTGGCTCCTACTACAACACCGATCGTTCCTACTACCACGCCTGTGGCTCCTACTACAACACCGATCGTTCCTACTACCACGCCTGTGGCTCCTACTACAATACCGATCGTTCCTACTACCACGCCTGTGGCTCCTACTACAACATCGATCGTTCCTACTACAACGCCTGTGGCTCCTACTACCACGCCTGTGGCTCCTACTACCACGCCTGTGGCTCCTACTACTACACCGATTGTTCCTAATACAACGCCTGTGGCTCGTACTACAACGCCTGTGGCTCGTACTACAACGCCTGTGGCTCCTACTACCACGCCTATGGCTCCTACTACAACACCGATCGTTCCTACTACTACGCCTGTGGCTCCTACTACTACACCGATTGTTCCTACTACAACGCCTGTGGCTCGTACTACAACGCCTGTGGCTCCTACTACCACGCCTGTGGCTCCTACTACCACGCCTGTGGCTCCTACTACCACGCCTTTGGCTCCTACTACAACACCGATCGTTCCTACTACCACGCCCGTGGCGCCTACTACTATACCGATCGTTCCTACTACAACGCCTGTGGCTCCTACTACAACACCGATCGTTCCTACTACAACGCCTGTGGCTCCTACTACCACGCCTGTGGCTCCTACTACCACGGCTGTGGCTCCTACTACAACGCCGATCACTCCTACGACCACGCCTGTGGCTCCAACTACCACGCCGATCGTTCCCACGACCACGCCTGTGGCTCTGACGACGACGATTCCTACTACAACACTCTCGGGGCCCATCTTTGGGAGCGATGGAGATGTTACCACTCAAGCTGGCGAGTGCGACTCCTACTGTTTCTTACTCAACGGTGTGGGGAGCTACTGCAAGTCTTGGCTCAGTCCTCCCGTATGCCAACTTGGTAACCAACCTTGCACTGCAGCCGATTGCGCTGGATCAACTACGTCGACATCGAATCCGGCAACAACGACTGAGGGCATCCTGTTCGGAGGAGATGCCGATTCTACCACTGTTGTTGAGGAAACGACCACTGCCATCGCTGGGGTATCGGCCACATCTGGTGCTGGTCTAAGTCTTACCTCGACAAGTGGCCCTCAGACTTCGACGGTTGCCATGACAACGGGTGCTAGTGTTGCGTCATCAACCGCCGAAGTGACTACCATCTGGTCTCCGATGACAGGACCGGATGCTGTTTGTGATCGCAACTGTATTTTGATCAATGATGATTCATCCTCGTATTGCAAGTACTGGTTGTCTCCTCCTGTCTGCCAAGGAGGGAACCAGTTGTGTGATTGCGAGGCTGCTAGACTTCGTTAATCTGGCGAGTCTAAATTTGAGGTGTGGACCGCCTCATTCGTATATCTTTAGGTGGGTACCTCATCTTCATTCACGATTCATCATAGTAATACTGAGTATTTCTCACCCATGGTTTGCTTCGTGACACGTATTCACATGCATCCTCTCAGAAGGCAGGGTCGTTGTGTTTAGTTCCAGGGAAAGTCGCTTCACGGCCTTGAGTTTGTCTTCATTTTGAGGATTTCATCTATAGACCATTGATAGCATTCTCCGCAGTGGGTTAGGAGCAATAGAGGAAACGTCGATGCTTGGAGTCTCCAACTCGGGGGATTCGGGAGTTCACGTTCGAATGAGATGAGCCTTATTCTGACGAAATTTGAAGACAGTGTGAAAACAGATGTAAATTTGTGGAGAATGAGCCAATCAGCATTTAAAGATATTGAAGACTCAAGACGAAGATCGTGTGATGGGTCATTGGGTGTAGAAGTGGAATACACAAGACTCTGAATCCTGTACAATCGATATAATTGATTTCCTTGCTATAATTGTTTTAGGGATTCGCAGCCGGAAGATTTTACTGATTAGCCCGTCCGACACGGCAAGATATTTATTGAGTGCATTTTGATTGCTAGATGCTGTCTTATTGAAACGGTCCTCAATTACGAGCAATACATGATACAACAATCACGCTTTTCTGCTTTAGGGCTGCGACCATCGACTTCGTCTCTTGATTCCTTCACTCCTCTTGCCCTTCATCCCTCAGCGAGTGTTCAGAGCAGCTCGATCCTGCCCCAGCTGCTGTTGCTTTTTTTCTTTTCTTTTTTTTGCCAGGTACTGTCATTGTCGTGTTGTCGCCGAGTATGTGATTATTACTCTCAGAATGAGGCCTCTGTCTTGAGAAGTCGGGATCCACTTGGTTCCTCAGATCTCACGGCCCATCGAGCTATTGCAAGTACTTGCAGTTTCCTCCTGTTTGCCAATT